CCCCAGGGAGGAGGTCACATGTAGAACCATTGTTTTTTAAGGATTCAAATATTCCGCTGTGTGTATGCACCAACGTTTATTTACCCATTCTTCTACTGAGGTGGTTTAATTTGTTTCTATTTTCTTGCCATTCTGAATAGTTTTGCAGTGGACATTTTTTCTGAGATGCCAGTGTTACTCTTTTGATTTATTAGAATTATCATATCCTTCCAGTATTCTTGATCTTTAATCTGGGTCTCAGTGTTTGTTTGTTTGTTTGTTTGTTGTTTTTATTTGTTAGAAGTTTGACTCTTTTGAGTATTTTAATTAAGATATTTTCGGTTTCTCATCAATTTTGAGCTAATTATTCTCCATAACTTAGGCAAGATGTCCCTGTGTACTGTATCTAATACCCCATGAGTGTTGACATAATCCAGTTGGAATTTGAGGACCGGCACTATTCCTGGGTAAGGGTGTGAGTCATGGTTACCTCTTACGTTCTTGGCGGTTTTGTCCCCTCCCCTGTGAAGTGTTCGTATACTTCTGTGCTGGAATCCAGTGGTGTGTTGCAGTAAACTGGGGCGATCAGAGGGCCCCCTTGGCTTCTCTGATGGATCACTATCCTTCCTCTCAGATGGCAAGACTCTAGCAAATCACTGTCTCGTACACCATACATTTTTTGAAGGAGTTCCGGTAGCACAATGGTTTATGCTTTCCATACATCCATGACAAAACCCCTTGCTCAAATCTATCAACTGCTCCAATGGGAAAAGGATGAAGCTGTGTACTCCTATAAAAACTTAGCATCTTGAAACAAAGGGGAAGTTCTACTCTGTCCTATCTGGTCACTATTAATTGGACTCCACTGGAGGGCAGTGAGTTTGTCTGTTTTTTTAGTTTTTCTATGTATTAGTTGTTTTATGTCAGATCTATCTTGACTGGGAGCAGATAACCATAAATTCGATTTCAATGCTAATAAAATATTTAAGACATGTTTAATTAGTATATTTTCTTTTTCTATTATAAAAGCATTTTCTAGTCACCAATTACACACCATTCTACATATTCCATTAAAAGTTAAATTATTTGATACTTTTAGAATCAGGAAATGTTGATTAAACAATATGAAAAAACCCTGTAGTAGAAGTTTTATTAAATATTGCGGGCCAAAAAATTAAACAGAGGTAACATGCCTAAAAATGATTGTTAATATATGTCTAAAGCTGTGTTCTCTAGGTAAGTAAGACCAGGGAAGTCTATATACGTATAAGTCCAGAGAGGTTTGTATTAAGAACGTGGCTGGCAGTTCCAAGCACCTGGTTCAGGTTGACCCCTTCACAGGACTCACATAATTTCTAGGCTTGTGAACTCAGGATTGGAGGTCAGGCAACAGACTTCTGCCTGCAGAGGTGAATGAATCAAATGTGGGCAGGACAAACAACTACTTCTAGCTGTAGAGGCTAACTAATATAAGATTGGCAGGTAAGATGGCAGACTGCTAATGAGTTCCATGATCAACATGAAATACCACAAGCTATTGGCTCCAGTCCAAAGAACCAGAGGTAAGGGAATGGACCAGATATAGGTTCCAGATGCAGAAAAAAGCAAACATGCCTTTCGATAGTTTCTACTTATATAGAAGCAGATTATATCCACAAGAAAGTTTCATTATTGGGGGATACTACATCTTAATTGCCCCAAACACTGAGAATCCTGACCTAGTTAAATTGGCACAAACCTGAGCTATCACAACATATAAAGACAACAAATATTTTGAGTGACTTGAATGATATATAATTTCGTATGCAAGTGGTATTTTTTGGCTTATCTCACCATAACAGTCTTAATTCTCAGGTGAGAGAACCAAGGGGAGGATTCTGCCATTTCTGAGAATGGCCATCAAAATTATGGATTCCCTATTAGGTGGGAAAGAATAGCATCAGTGTGAGGACCCAGTGAACCCATCAAGAAATGAATTTGAGCAAAATTTTAATCGATTATGTAACCTTCATACATCTCTATTCTAACTGGTGACTTTTTGAAGACCTTTCCTAGAATAAGTGTCTGGTCAGAGCCAGTGTCTATTAACTCCTTACCTCTGCAAAGTATTATTGTTTTCTTTCCTCAGTACAACAGGTCACATGTCCTTTGGGGAAAGACTGGAAAAAATCTAGCAGGGTATGATTTTTGCAATGTAATGCTATCCTCCCATAGGGGTGTGATGACCCCTTTATTCAAGAGACTGTGAGTCTGTTGTTTTGCTCAATTTTGTGAATTGATGTTGGGAAATTCATTAGACTATGCTTACTTGAGCTAAAATATTTCTTTTTATATACATAAAGTAAGAATTAATAGTTTTAGCTATTTCACCTCTAGGGACACTATGATCAACTAACCAATCAATATCATGGGACTCTGAGTTAACGTATTTTTATTACACTTTTGATTCTGCTGTTCATTAGGATGACTATGACTAACTTATCTTTGAAGATTAATTACTGTCCATTGTATCACATTGGTTTATATGTCTGACCTTTCCATTTGGATTTTCCCATACAGGGAACAATGTCCCCACTATCACATGAGATAGGAC